AGCCTGGCTTCGGCCGCAAACAGATTAGAGGCGGTCTCCTTTCCACGAGGGTGCCCTGGGGAAGTAATTGCCTACACGTCGGGCGAACGGAAATAGGACGCGCGGCGTAAGCCCGTTTCGCTTTTTCGCCTCCGCAAAACGATCCATCTGCCCGAGTTACCTGCCTTCGACCTTCTGACCTCGGCAAGCTAATGAAAGCCATCTTAAGTTAGTATCATTGATTTTAATAGTAATTCTATATCAATTTTTAATCAATGATATGATGTATTAAGATTGAAAGTAACATGATGTAATTACAAATATACCCTATATATTAATTATATATAAAGTTGTGTATTATTTAGATAAATAGATAAAATTAATCGTGATGTTACTTTTCAAAAACTTGAAATATAATATTGTAGTATAATTGACACTTCTGTTATTTTACTAGAGCAATTTTTTCTAATAGTCAGAGATGATTTGCGACGATTTGCGTGGAGTGATTACGACGCACGTTAAAAACTGCGAGAGGAAAACTGCGTAGATGGAAAAATGTTCATTTATGTGGGAAATTATACTTTTAAGAGATTGTTGGTCGCAAAGTATACCTATAATTGTTTTAAAGTACATGGTACGGTCGGATTTAAAACAAAGCAATTGCAAATGGCTTGAAGCAGGGTGGCCATAAACGCGCAAGCGTAACATAACTTTCCTTTTTTCGTTGTCTTGCACCGAAATACGTTCGATCGACCCACTAACCTTCTCAGGTCTCTCCTGAGAACTATTTCTTTGTGCTTATAATGGAAGGAGATTTCAGGATAAGGTGCGAGACTTTTTATTACTGAAGCGAAACGAGGTCGACTGTCCTGCGAAATAAATGAAATCGATAACATTAATTGTACGAATATAAAAAAAAAACACTATTAAAGTCCATCCATATAGTGTATCGTAATATGATGCGAATTTTAACACCGAAATGTACTGAAATTAAAAAGCATTACGCGTGAAATTTAATATACATATATGTATAATCGTAACTGCGTGAAATCCCATAAAATTCCTGCATCGGCCGTTAACATTTTTTACAGCTGTCACTTCACAATCGCATTATTCGGTATTACGAATGAAGTACTTTTGGGGTTTCGACAATAAGCGTCACAACACCGCGCAATTTTTATCTTCGATTATATGTAATAATCGCCATATGTGAACAAAAATCGCAACAGTTATTAAAAACGTATTTCGATATGGCCAGCAATATTTTCGCGAAAAATACGAAAATCATTTTCCACATAAACAAGCAAATAGAAGAAATTTTTAACAATGCCATTTTTAACTCAATTCATACAGAAAATATGCAACCTAAGATATATTTTTCTCTATTATTTCAAAATTATTTTAATGACAACTAAAAGTTAAAAACTGTACCATTATGTATATAATATAAAAGGAAGTAGAAGTATATAATATAAAAGGAAGTAAAGTGCGATATCAATAGAGATTACTGTATAGATATATTATTCATACACTCCTCAATTATTCATATATATATATTATCAGAAATGTCACTTAGATATGGTGATGTCTATAATCGAAACTATTCTCAGATTCGTGCCGACAAATTATATACTCTGGCAAAGCGTTCAGGAGGAGATTCTACTTGCCGCTGGCGTAGACATCAATTTTATGTGTCGGTGAGACGATATCGTAGAAGCGTCTCTTACCCCGTGGCGGTCCTTATATATAGGTGTATTAATTATTCCTATCGCGTAGACCCCGGTCTGGCTTGTATTCCAGCACGTTGCAGTTGCAGTTGTAATGCATCCGCGGTCGTTTCGAGACGGCCGATATAGCGGAAACTCTACTCCACCGTTGAAGAGGCACGTTCCATTTGCGTGCCGTTTACAACTTCGTGGGCCGTTTACAGCTGCGAACTTTTTATATCTTCTATGAACGTATTAATCTCACAATTCTTCTAATATCAAGTATTGCTCATTTGATAGCGCATGTAAGAATTGAATCATTCAGATAAATTTAAATTAATTTTAGAAGTGTTATTTTATTTTCTAATTTATATTCTATTTTTATTACGTTTGTGTTTTACATAATACTTCCATTAATCTGTAATCTCTGCCCTATTCTTCAATAAAAAAAGAACGCAAGCTGTGCATTTATAAAAATGAATAAAGAAAGAGTAAATAATTACAAAATCAAAATTCAAGTATATATATATATATATATATA